AAAACAAGTTTGGGTCTACAGTGTGTGGTGTACACACACACACATATATATACATATATATATATATACATATATACACGTATATACTTCTTTAATAGATGTTGGATGTATTATTTTGTAAGAAATTAAGAAATAAGAAGTGATGAGAATAAGGTCACAGGAGAAGGGGTGGGGCTTATCTAAGTGTACAATTCTGCCCACTCCTTTGAGTGTACAAGTATTGTGTTGTTTCCGTTACTTTCTCTTGTTGCATTTAATAAAAACTTATAAAAAAAAGAGAAATATGAAATCTGTTGACAATTTTCATAGCCAGGAATTCAGAAGGTCACGAACCTTAGCAAAAATTTTTAGCACAGCTGAAGCCATGCAGTGCATATCCATACTCAAATATTTGCTGAAATGTTAATATGTCCTTTTTGCTAACGCACAGTTGTTGAGCCATAAGCCTGCGACAAAAGATTGCAGACGTAAGGCAGCTGTTTGTGTTGCCTTTCCTACTGTTTGTCACCGTGCTTTATCTGCTGTGCTGTTTTGTGCCGTAACGCTCACACTATCAAGATCGCGCTGCGTTCAGATCTATCATATCTTTTTTAAAGTTGCAAAGCAGCATTGGGGGAGAAAAAAAATGAATCGGGCCAGCAAAATGTGGATAGTTCTTGATGTGTTTGCAGATGTTGATTCGATACAAGTCTCCCACTTTTACGGTGCTCAAATAAATCCTTGTGTGCTCCTTTGTCCTGGATAACCTTGAAAAAGTSAGCAGCTGGAGGGGATATGACTGTGGACAAGTTGAGTCACATCTCTATTACATAAAATTACTTTTATTATTATTATTATGATATTTAAGAATAAATCAGCAAAACATTTGGATTTTGATATTTAGTAATTTGGCTACAAAATATTAAAATATATTTTTAAATCGACTTTAAAATTGTGTCGTCAGAGTCTTTTAATGCGAAAAAATACTGAACCACAAAAAAGCTGAATTTTTACAAAAGACAGTTTTAGACTTTCATTTTCTTAGTTCGATGAATTAGAAATAAACTAATTGTGGATGTTTGTGTGGCTTAAAAGAGAGTAAAAAGTGAAAGGAATTGTTAAAAAATTTATTTAAGTGTAGAAAACAGAAGAGTGGTTTGAAAGCATCAGAAATACTATTATCAACAACAGCAGCGACATCAAAACACACGACTAAAGGCTGGAAAACAAGCAGATTTAAAGAGTGGTGACACTAAATTGTTAAGATATTCAAAAGAACAGAGTGCTGAGAACAAACCGGGAGAAGTTTGTTAAGGTTGATGTGGAAATTATGGAAAAATCTACAGCTGAAGGGGTAGTTTCAGCCCTTACCATGCACTGTTCACTGAATTAAGTCTGGCTTCAATGGAAAAGATCAAGAAGGAAATTACTGTTTAAAAAAAGCACAAAAGGAAAAGACGATTTTCTGCAAAAGACTTCTGCAGATCAGTTACTCAGTCTCAGAAAATGTTTCATGAACGGAGGAGACCAAAGTCGGTCTTTCTGAATTCATTGCATCAGTTTGCATAGAAGGGATAAAATGAAACGGGTGAGGAAAAGAACGCTCTTCATGTGGTAAAACACGGCGAGGGTTCTGTTAGACTCTTAAGACTGCTTTGCTACGTCTGCTACCGAAGGCACTGAATGTCTTAAAGGAGTGGTGAAATCAAAGAATTACCAAGGTGTTTCAGGGTTAAATTAGTGCTGGAAAACTAGTTTTGGGTTTCTCAGCAGGATAGAGACCCAGGGCGCGCATCTGTCAGTGCAGAGGAAAATAAAAAGGAGGGGCAAAAAAAAGAGGAGAAAGTGGGTGTGCTTTTAAACTGGCCAGCAACAATCCTTCACCTTAAACCCACGGAAGACCTTTAAGAGTTGAACTCTGTGCAAGAAAGGGCACCTCCAGCGTTGACATATCTCAGTCATGTAGGAGTTGAAGAGTGGAAAGAATTAACAGCCTGGCAGAAAGACGTTTCTTTTTACTCACATTGTCAAACGTTTTGTAACAAAATCTTTGTGCAGTAAGTGATCGGCACTGGAATATTAAATGCAAACTATGAATTTAATCATAAAAATGTTTTCCTAAACTATATCAAATAGTACATTTTACTCCAGTAGTTTTCCAGATATAATGGWATGCAATTCTGAACTGCTGGTCTGCACTCAGTGTAAACAAATAACAATTATCTGCATATTTACTCAACAAAACTGAGAGCAAACGTACTAGTTCATTAAAGTTGTTGGATTTCCTCATCCCAAACAGCTCTTTTGTGTGCAGATTGTGTTTACTAACCAGTGGCATGCAATGAGTACCTTTTAAAGGGATATTCCGTGTTATTTTAAAGTGAGGTTCTGTGAAAAAGCTATG